GTCCTGCAGCATTGCCAGCCTGCGGGGCCAGCACATGAGCACTCAGCTCTGCTGAGCCCTCCCAGGCACCTCGCGAGGCCTCTTGCTCCTCCGTGCTAGCATATGGGGAGGCTCATGCTTTTCTGCCCGGCAGTGCAGTACTGTGAGCGCCCAGATGCTACAATATTTCAGATAAACAGGCAGAATAGCAGGGGAGCCTATTTGACCTGCAGATCACTCCCTTGTTACTGCCCAGACACGACCCAGGCCCTCCCCATGGTTCAGTCTTCCTGTATTTCGTTCTGGGCCTGCTCACCTGCTGCTGTTCACCCTGTGACACCCATCTGCTCGGGGGTGAGCTGTCACCTCCCCTCCCTGCCACGTGGAGAGGGAGCTGCTGCCCTGTGCTGCCTGGGTGCTTTAATTTCAGATACGTGACCTGGTCCCCAGATAGATATCTTGCCACCTTTGTAAGCTGCTGGTGGAACATGTTCATTTAGTGCTCCTAATGCAACCTGAGATTTGTCAAACATAATTTTTGATCTCAGGATTGTGATGCTCTACAACCTTCATCAGCTCCTCTTTATCATTGTTTAGTGCCCTGCTAAGATTCCTTGTGCTTAAATGAGAGAAGCTGGGAAAAGGCCCTCCCAAGGTCACATTGAACTAGTGTCAGTGGTCATGAGGGGGAGAACCCAGATGCCTCGAGGTTCCCAGCGCCTGTTCTGCCGCAGAGAAACGCAGAGCTGGGGGTGATGTGAGCTTTGCCTTTGCCTTCCCCTCCTTCCAGTGGCCTGCACGTTCAGCTGCATGATGAAATTCACTGTCAAGGATTGTGATCCGAACACGGGAGAGACGGACGATGAGGGTTACGAGGATGAGTATGTGGTAAGGAACTAGGTTTGCAACTGATCATGGAAACTGCAGTTCTTTTGAGGTTATATATTTATTTATTTATTGGCTCCTTTATGCCCAATAACTTGCCTTGCAAGCAGTGCTGTGACCATGGACACTGCAGTGGACAGAACTGTCCGGAGAAGGGGTTCCTGCTGCCTCTGTGTCATCTGTCCCAGGGGCCTGCGAGTTCATTTTGTGTCGTCTGGAGTATCCTCCCGCTGCTGCTTTCCAGACGGATACCTGGCTGTGCAGGATACCCCTGTTCTGGGAGGTGCAGTGTGTGCCCATGCTGAGCTGGCTGTGTCTTAGCAGCTCCAACGGAGGCTTTGGGCCACGAGCTGCTCTGTGGTGGCACCATGAACTGCCTGCCAGCCCGATGGAGGGAGTTTCCATCCTTGCTCTGGGGAAGGTGGCACTGCTTCCCTCTCCAGGCTCTGGGACCGGCAGCTCTGATCCCGGGAAAGCACCTCCATTCCACACTGCTGTTTCCAGGCAGGCTGATGTACCACAGAGGAAGGAATTAAACTGTGCTTGTTCAGAAACTGAGGCTGCCTCACAGAGGGTGGCGTTTACCCTCCGGAGAGGGAAAGATGGTCTGACGACCCACGCTGTGCCCTGTAGCTCCAGAAGCTGTTTCTGCGTGTTGCCTGTCGCTGCTGTGAGCTCGGAGGCCCTGCTGTGCAGGGAGTCACTGAGCAGCAGCGTTCTCCCAGGAAGAGCAGGGACGGTTTCTCCAAAAGACCCTGCAAGGTTAATCTCTTAATGTGCCTCCTGCATCGCAGTCGCCAGGGCATTCAAGTGATGTTTAAACAAACTCTTCCATCTGTATCAACAAAATCAGGAGGAGATGCTTTCCTGCAGCGAGTGCAGAGATGACTGCAGGCTGCTGTGTGGCCAGCTCCAGCTCTCACTGCTCTTAGATACATGCACGGGAGGGACAAGGCCAGGTCTGCCTGGCACAGATGTAGTCCCAGCATCTAACACAGCGTTAGGTGACAGCAGGTACCCCACAGTGACACACTGCACACTACCAGCTACACAACGATGGGCCAGAAGGGCTAGTAAGGACAAGCTTGTGTGGGATCCAGGGGACATACATATCTGTCTGAAGAGCTGCAGCTCTTCCTTAGGTTTTGGGTTGTCCTCTGTCTTAGACCAAAGCCCAGAAGAAATGTCCTTTTCAGGCCCAAAACCGTGCTCAGAATGGGACCCTGCTTTTGTAAATCCTGGAAATGAAAGAACCAGCGACTTTCCTAGTTCAAATAGTTGCTCATCCATCAAAGTGGTGCTTGCTCACGCCATCTATAGCAGGGCAGGGCTTGCTGGGGCATGTGAGTGGAAATGGAGCTTGTCTCCTGCATCTGCCTGGCCCCAGGGACCAGGTCTGAGGCTCCGTCTGGAGAGAGCAGGGCTGGGAACAGCCGTGTTTTACTTGAGCCTTTTCTCACCATCAGCTCGAAGACCTGGAGGTAACTGTGGCTGATCACATCCAGAGAGTTCTGAAGCCAAACTTTGGAGCAGCCTGGGATGAAGTGGGTGATGAGTATGAAAAGGAAGAGACCTTCACTTTATCCACTATTAAAACCCTGGAAGGTAAGTGGGTTTCTGGGTCCAGCGGAGCTCTGAACATTTCCACAAGGAGTCAAAGTCCAGAGCTGGAGCTCAGATGTACTCCAGCTCAGTTCAGATCTCACCAACTCCTTCACACTGCAGCCACTGAATGCAGCGCATCAGATTAGAAAAAGCTAGTTTGGATTTTGCAAAAAGTTTTGAGTGTTTGGGGCTCTTTGGAGAGCAGGCTGGCTGCTGGGAGCAGGAGAACATCATGCGGGCAGACTGCCCTCAGCTCAGCTGTAAGCTCCCACTTCCTTACTGTGAAAGGAGGAGACGCTCTGACCTTGGTATTCAAGATCAAGAAAAGAATAAGCAAACACCAAGAACACATGAGGTTGGTGGGCAGGATCATCTTGTAAACCATCATCTTTTCCATCATGTTTCACAGACTCGGTTTGACCTTTCTTGTCCCGTAGCCTTCCTAGCACAGCACCTCAGGCTTGAAATACCCTTCCACATTCTTCCCAAAGACCAGTCTCCCCTTCCTTCTGCATCTGCCCTGCAGTAACTAAGCTGTTTGTCAGGGCTGAGCAGGAAGTGTGCACAGCACCAGCCTCCTGTTTCTGTTGCACCTGCAACTTTGCATCAGATTCAAAATTGCTGTGTGGGTGTTTGTTGTTGTTTTTGGGTTTTTTGTGTTGCCTTTACATCCCTTGTGGCCTCTGAAAACACGACACTGGCTAAGGGTATGTACCTTGGACAGGGAACACGAACAAGGAAGTAGATGTTTAAATGCTGTTGATGTGTCCAAGTCAAGGCAGCCATGACTTTGACCTTGTATTTTTATTTATGTATTTATTTTAACAGAGGCCGTCAGTAATATTGTGAAGTTCCTGGGGATGCAGCCCTGTGAGCGGTCAGATAAAGTGCCGGACAACAAGAACTCTCACACCCTGTACCTGGCAGGTGAGCTGTGGGGCCAGGGCTCTGCTCCAGCCCCAGGGCTGTGACAGGGCGCACGGAGCCGAGTTCAGGGTTTAGCCCCTTGTGCTTGGGGAGGCTTTAAAGGCTTCTCCCTGCCGTGGGTTCAGGGCAGCTGTCCCTGGGATGAGAGCGGGGGACAGGGATGGGTCTTCATGGGGTGATGGGTCTTCATGGGGTGATGGGTCTTCATGGGGTGATGGGTCTTCATGTTTGGTGGCATCCCCTTTTGGACGGAGCCTTGGGGAAAGGGCAGCAGCCCGGCCGCGCTCCGTGCGCGTGCCCTGCAGGCTGGCTCCCCTCTCCGCTCGTTTTAGACCTTGTTCTCCAGAGGTTTGCACGGGTCCACGTTGCACACGCGTCTCCTTCCCTCCGCCCTCCAGGTGTGTTCCGGGGAGGCCACGACCTGCTCGTCCGCGCCCGCCTCGTCCTCACCGACACCGTGACCATGCAGGTCACCGCGCGCAGCGCCCAGGAGCTCCCCGTGGACGTGGTCATGGCCTCCGTGGGCTAGGAGCTCCCCACGGGGCTCCGTGCGCCCGGCGAGAGCCGCTTCCCCCTCCTCTCCCGCGGCCGTGTGCGCGGGGCAGGGCTGTGTCTATAACGTCACCCCGAGTCCTGCAGCCCTTCCCTGTCGCGCGGGGGCCAGGGCCGGGTCCCCTCCTGCTGCTGT